AAGGTTCTGTCAAAATTTTTATCCTTTTTTGAGACTTTGAACACATTTGGAGCATTTTGAAAATCTGCAGAACCTTTTCGGAGGGTTCTGTAAACCTCCTTTATTTTTTTCAGAGTGCTCAGTGCATCGATTGCCAAACTTGAGGGTGTGGGTGTGGATGTGATTTAGTCTTGTCTTTATTCACACCCACACCCACACCATTACTGGTTTGTTTCGGTTTATATATACAATTTTTAGATGAATAAATATTTCTTTTTCATTGTCTCTTGGCCTTCTTTTTCGTCGGCATCAAACTTTATTTATACTACCTTATAAAGGCATGAGACACGAACGTTGTAAACAATGGATGAAAATTTATGCAGGCTGAAAAGAACGAAAAAGAAAATGGAGTGTGCGAGACAACGTTTTAATCATATGGGAAAGAAACATATGACTATTCGCGGAAAAAGGACACAAAAAATATTGTTGTTGTATAAAGATTGATCATCATGCTTTTATTAGTTAGGGTGTGAGTGTCGATGTGTCAAACCAAACTATGACAGATTTCGATGTTCTTGAAGGATTTCATCAAATGGCTTTAATCCTATAACTACTCAAACAGACAAAAATAAAGAACTCACGGGTAAAACCACGCATTATTTTTTCTTTTTCAACACATTGTACATGAGGAGAAGTGCTCAAATTTAGACGTTTTAACATTTGACATATTTTTCAGTTAAAGAGCGTTATAACGAAATGTGCATATAAACGTTGAAACACATTAATTAGTAAAAGCATTAAAACACCACAATTTAGACGGTGTTCATAAAATTAAACGCGTTTAACAATCGCATTTCAACGCATGATAGTGGTGTATCTTATTCTTACAAATAAAACATTGAATTTGTTTTCCCAACCTAAAGTAACTATTGTTATATTGCCGGCATTCGTCACCCACTCTAATATCATCATGAAGATAGGATGAGCACCAGCAAAAAGAATCATTACATATATGCAATGAATCTCTTTTCTGTTGCTCATCCTATCTTCATGATCATTGTAAGAAAACTAGTGAAAAATCATTTAGATATGATTCTAATTCAATAGAGCTGTTGACTTCATGAAGAGTCTACATTTTGTTTGTCTGATTTGATGCTAGTTACCAATCATATTCCAATCGGATACGTATTTTGAAGAACACAGCAGTAATATTTCAATTAAACATATTCAAATTGCTTCTGGATTAGTGCTGGCATTTTAAAAATCTAAAAGCTAATAGACATTGACATTCTTACTGATGATTCTCGAGGTGGACACAGTACTGCGATGAAACAACAGAGAAACAAAGAGTATGAAAGCTACTTTACAGAACTACAACTACACATTTCTGACTATTCGCGTTGACATCCTTACCAATTAGGATGGGGTGTGGGTGAGGGTTTAGAAGAAAACATCCCTACCCACATGCACACGAACACCCCACACCTCATACTCATACTCACACCCACACCTCATACTCATACTCACACCCACACCTCATACTCATACTCACACCCACACCCACACCCACACCCACACCCCAAAATAACTGAATTTACTATCGACACAAAGCATCATTATTATACAACAACAATCAATAGTGTTATTGATTGAAATACAACATTTACCGCATCAGTACTTGACGCTATTCTGGTTGATAAAATCGCTTTTTAAGGTAATTTTAAATTCAACTAATGCTATATTGTCATGTGTTAATATGGACTTCTCACAGCACGAAAAGTTGAATCAAATAAATGATATCGATATATTTACTTCCATTTGATATGTATCATCTAGCTAGATGCATGACTAGCTCATATTTTGTTATAGAAATATACAATGATTCACATCATCTGACATACAAATAGAAACATGTGACACGCAATATCCAGTATCATACTTCACTATAATGAAACTACTATCTGATAATATATGACTAGCCCTGTTTTGGTTGGCGTAATCAACGTTTCTGTTATGATTCTTCATCGTATTTAATCCATTTCATACTGCACAAAATAATCATAATGACTTTGTTCTATGATCGTCATTTTCACATGTATTTTCAGCATCCAATATTTCACACTATTGTACACAGATAGAAAACCCTTATGTCTAGTATACAACATTAAAATGTGAGTCCCTTTTCGACTGAACAAATCGTTTATGAACATGATTATATACGATTTGATGTTGCAGATTTTCCCGTTTATATCACAAACAAATAAAGAATCGTTTAACTAGCACGTTTGAATTTAAACAGTTAAACCGTTTTTTTTCTTTTCTGTTTCTCTGATTAACGATCAAAGTTCATCGTATACTAAATCGATAACGTTTCTTTGACCCCTTTCATTTTCTTTTCTTCTAACGGTCAGACCTGCATGTACAAAGAAACATCTTTTCTTTCATATGGCCGCGCTAATGATAATTATCTGTAATAATTAACTAGGCCTCAAATTTGTTTTTACCATGAAATGTTCACCGCTTCATTATAAGTAGTTACATATTATAACTAATTAAATCCCCAACATCATTTTCTGATGAAATCATAGCAATTGCTCGAATGTTTCATAAAAATCATCATTTCAATTAACCAAATATAGAAACATTCATTATGCACACTGACAGTCAACACTACTGTCTTACATATAGCATCGAGAAACTAGACCATTCTTGGATCAACCGAATCTGTACGAAAATTGTTATATCGGACTCGCATACGTAGAGTTTGTCTCGTGTATAACGTGAAAATAAAAAATCTTTTTGCTGGCTAACTATATGCACTAAGCTAAATTATTTTTTTCTTTCATTTCTTCCTTCCTTCGTGTAGATTATAGACACGTGTATCTGAAATGTTCGAAGTCAATAAGATAGACTAAGCCATTTCATTCTCTTTCTTTGTTTTCCATTATATATAGATACGTATATACAAAATGTTCGATGTTTTGAATTTATCCTAAGCTAAATCACTTTCTTTCTTTCCTGTTTATCATATATATGTCTATTCGAAATGTTCGAAGTCAGTAACATCTACTAAGCTATACCATTTTCTTTCTTTCGTTTTCATATTATATATAACGTTTTTTTTTTGATAACATCACTTTTTATACTTCTCGCTATATATGAAAAAACTCTACGTATGCGAGTCCGATATAACAATTTTCCCCAGTATATCTTGAAGATGTTTCTTCGATGTAATGTCTTTATTTGCTGTTGATATTTGGATGGACTGTTGTAGTAATATTGTTGCATAATCCTTGATTTTTAGAATATTACTAATTTTGTGGATATAGTCTACTGATGTGTATATAGGTACCTAGTGCAGCTTAAAGTGGTTTATTTAAGTGTGGGTGTGGATTAACAGAAGAGTGACACCCACACGCACACCCTCAAGATGAAGACAATGGACAAGAGCTAAACTGAATATGAGACCGATATATAACATTGTTATATCATCGAAATAATACTAAATCTTGTTCAAAATTCACTACTTGTTTTGAATCTATAAGGTGCATTGGGATTGAAAGAGAAAAAGGTAAGCTTATCTTGTTTATTTATGCAATAAATTGACAATAACCTTTAGGAACAATCTAATCGATTGCTGTTTTTTCTTGTAGATTAAAATATTATGTCTGGATCTGTCATCATCAAAAAAGAGCTGATATACGAGCATATGGAAACGGAGCAAGGTAAATGCGACTCATTTTGATTGCATACATAGATCTATCCTAAAACTTAATATTGTCTATTTTTCTTGCAGATGTTATGGTGAAAAAGAACAATAACATGAAGAGACGACGTTGTCGACGACGTCAACGGCAACAGCTTGAACGTATGGTATTGGAGCTCACTGAAATGCGGCAGGATATTCAGCAACTACGTGCCACAGAGGAGAGCCATAACGGCTCAATAAAAACGTTGTTCCTCAGTCTCGGCGATACTGATTTCGTGGCAGAAAAACTTCAAGTGAAGGTGGAAAAACAATCCACTATGTTGAGCGTGTATCAACAAACATGTAGTACCGTCCTCGCCGGATTTTCAGAGGCACTGAAAAACATCAGCACTCTGTGTTATACAAAAAAAGAATTTGTTGTTGTTGCGAATGTCATGTGTGCCACATTGTGAAGCGGAGTTCTTATTCGCTATGAAACCTGTGGTTTTTTTTATGAAAATGTTTTGTTTTGTAATAAAATTTCTGAACATAACTTCATGCCGTCATCGAAGTGATTGCTTGAACAAATCTATACCATGGGTAACAAGGTATGTATGATTTTTTTTCTTTTGTCTTTTTGGGAAATAAGTCAAGCCCACCTCCTCGTGGTGTTTCCTAGATAACACAAAAGGATCTGGAGATAGAAAAAACAATTATATCTTCCTTGATATGCTTTCATGTCACGAAGACGAATATTTCTGATCGTTTGATCAGTTTTTAGAAGTCAGGAGTTTATGGAGTAAACTAGAATGTATTGATTTCATTTTATATTCTAGATAAATAATTATACTTAATATGGTGACCTCAAGTCTTACAAACAATGTTATGGAGAAGAAGTGGAATGTACTCCCACGAGTAAGTACATTAATCAATTGAAAAACATATTTCAATTCATTAACATGTTACTTTTTGTAATTCTAGTTGACGGGGCCGTTTTCACGTCGATTCATGAACCTAAAGTTTCCCCGGTTGGTCCAAAACCTAGTACCATCATCGATAGGTAAGACTTGATTAACATTCAATTGATTATTTAAACACTTGATTTTGCTTTTCTTTTTTCTTTAATTAGACGGCCTCAACGACATCGCTTGCCTCTATTTGGCTTCGGTGGCAAGCATATGATGAATACTATGAAGATGATTACGAAGAAGCAGACGACTTCCGTAGTGATGACCAGAGATACGAGGATGCGGAAAGTGAGCGGATGATACACGAGCTCTTCCTCGCCGCTAAGAAGACGAATTGGACCAAGTCGGGGAAAACGAAACCGGATAATTTCACCAATCCGTTTGAGGTGTACGATTAGTTGGTTGGCTTCGACTGATGTCATGTAGATATTTAGCTTTTTCTATCTGTGTGTTTTTGTTTTCTTGAAATAAAAAAAAATTGTGAACTAAAAAATACAGAACTTTTCTTTTTGTTTTTGTGGAAATCAAGCTAGGCCGCCTCCTCCTGGTGTTTCCCGGATAAAGCTTACGGGCCCATGTAATGCAGTGAACACGGTTAATGCTAATCTTGTGTACGAACAAGTCTATGATTATAGTTGTCGTGGGAATGAAAAAGGATCGCAATGATTGTTGATAGGTAGCATGAGATGAATCTGAGGAAGTTGGTAAGAATAAGTCTCTTCTTGGGATATTATATTCGCATGTAACATTGATGTTCCATCTTCCGAGATGGAATAGTATAGTTATCGTGTTAATTCGATATCTCAGGAAGAGACCTTTTTGCTCAGGGTGCGGGTGTGAATAAGTGTAGTAGGTATATACACACTCATACACCCTCAAAAGTAAATATAACCAATGCAAATTGAGAGAGAGAGAGCGAAAGAGAGCGAGGGAGAGGAAAAAGAAAAAAAAGGAACGGCTAATAAATGGACAATAAAAAGAGAAAAAAGGAAGCAAATAGATGGATAACACAAAGAAAAACGATGACAATTTATTTGTTATTCAGAAAAATATCTGTATACATGAAAACGTAGAATTATTCTTATGCTTATAAACTATAAATGATTGACAAAATTGTTTTTTAATTAAAAATACACATGACTTAGAGTTCGGCGGTTGTTGTTCCATTATGAATATAAAACACTATTCATAAGAAATATTTGATATTTATATTTTTCTAACTTTAAATCAGAGATCCGAGACTCGCCGAGTTACTCGCCTATATTTAGAATGTTATTTTTGATGAATAAATAGGAAATTGATATCGACATCTTTCAATTTTATGGTAAATTTTTTAGAGTATCTATTGGCTATGAAATAAAACTAATGGGAAGAATGAATGACTATTCATTCATCCGTACATATACTTAATCTATTCGGTCTTGTCCAGTCATTTCATTTTCGTAATTCAGTGTACTTTGTTTATCATATGATAGACACTTGAATTTATTACAATACAAATATATTTCTAGATACGTATTATGTGTTCCAAAAACTCTGGTTCTTCTCCTGATGATATTATCGACGTCACACAAGAGAATAATACAGATTCGAACAACGTTGGTTGTACATTGTTGAGTACATCTAAAATAGCTTGTAAAATGATTTACAATTTGTTGATACATAAAGATCCACGTGTAATCTTAGTCGAAAATACGAAGAAGCATACTTCAGATTGCTGGAATCAGTTTAGATATCCTGTAATCATTGATGATAAAGGTGTTGTGGTGACAAAATTAGACAAATTTGTCTCATGTAAATATTGCTCTATCACATTTTCTTATAATAACAATAGCACTTCACAAATGAACAAACATGATTGTCGAAATTCACCAGTTAAATGCTCAACAAAATCTGATTCAACATCTTCATTGTCTTTCAAACAAAAAAAAGTCTTATCTTTCACCTGTAATCGTTCAGGATCAATTAAACTGAACGAAGAAGAAGAAGAAGAAAAGGTAAAAATCTTCTTGTAGAATGGGTCTGTATGGATATAAGACCTTTCTCGATTGTCAATGATGCAGGACTTCGATGTCTCATTCAAGAATGTATTTCTTTGGGTATTCTACAACATTTACAATAATATTCCTAGCTTTTTAAATATTCTTTGTTTCTTCATAAGGGCCAAATATGGAAATATTCATGTTGATGATATGTTATTCAGTGCCGATACTACTTCATCACATGTAGCAAAATTATAGCCAACGAATATCGTTCTAATATTCGACAAAAACTTATTGAACCTTTATTACAACAAGCTGTCACAATATGTCCTAATATGTGGAGTGATTCTCATAGACAAGTTTCGTATTTGGGAATTAGTGTTTGTTTTACAGATGAAAATTATCAATTTTTTGCGTATGATCTTTGTTGTCAACCTTACACTGAAGCTGATAAAAGCGCCGAAAATAATATTATTGTAAGCTCCAAATTTCATCATGTAGGTGCTTTTACTTTTTTCTTCTAGGCTATTAAAAAGCTCTTGAGCCTTTTGGTATTACTGATTTATCACAAATAAACTTTGTTAGTGATAGGGGTTCAAATTTGGCTAAAGCACTTAAACCTTATTCACCAGCATATTGTGTAGACTACAGACTCAACAATATTATCAAAAAATGTTTTTACCAAACAGGCAAAATAAAATATAAAGCCGATGATTATATTACGAATGAAACAAATGAATTAGTTTGCTCATCAGATTCTGAGGACGATAATGATGTAATTGATATTCCATCATCTGCAGCTAATATCCTCAAAACAATATTATCTTGCAAAAATTTGGTAAAGTTTGTTAAACAGGTATGAATTAAATCACTTATTCATAAACAGTATGTAAAGGGTACAATAAAAAATATAGCAATCAAAATTAATTGAAAAAAAGATTTATATAATTAAAGTTATTGAAACGCTAGTCCACATGAAATTTACAGAAATGTGCGAAGAGAAAATCCTTTTTAATTTTTTAAATAATAGTTTTTATTTCTCGAGCTTTTTTTCTACATGCTGTTTTGCTCTAATGACGTGACAAGAAATAGCACCACTCATATATGCATCTTTGTCGCACATTAAACTAACTTGAATATTTTTTTTAGAGTGGATTGAATAAAATAATTCAGGACCAATGTGGTGTTGCTGTACTGCAAGCAACGGTTGTGAGATGGTTATCAATGAGTCAACTTCTGGAATCAGTTAATCGCTCATATCGACAAATAAAAAAGATTTTGGGAGATAGAAAAAAAGTTATTGTTCTCGATAAACTTATAATTTTACAGCTTATTATTCTATTACGAACATTCAAACATATTATTTTATTTCTACAAAAGGGCAAAGAACCCACATTACACCTTGTTACAATAGCTATTATTACACTTCAATATTTATTGGAATATGATCAAAGTTATCAAGAAAATCCATCAGGAGAAGAACTTCAGGAAGATGATGAATATTTAGAAGAAAACGAGGGTATGATACATGTAAAGTATATAAATTTAATCATGTTTTCTTTTCTTTTAGGAATGCGTTTTTTCCGTATACGTCTTTACCAATTACTTAATATCATGTTTGCTTTAGAACCAATTCATCTAGCTGCTACATTGTTACATCCTTGATACAAATTTTTGAAGAAATGTTCTTCAAATGAAGTACGTGAGTGTCATGCATACATCCGAACTCGAATGACTCAAATCAAAGCTAAAGAGAAAAAACAAACTACAAGTTCTACTGCACAAGGACAAACTAAAACCACTGAAGATGCAAATACATTCGAACCTGGTAAAAAGAAGACCAAACGTTTCGGAGAAGACTTTTGAAACAGGCGATGTAAGCGATGAATATGATGAAGAGTATGACGATGAATTAAGCAAATATCTTAAGCAGCATATTGATATCAATTCAATCAAAGATAATCCTTTAACGTTTTGGTATGAAAATCGATTCATTTATCCAATATTATCATAGTTTGCCCGGTCCATTTTTTCAATTCCAGCCACGACAGCGAATGTTGAGCGCGAATTCAGTGCCGGTGGTTTGATAGTTAATTCTAGACGCACTCGTTTAAATCCACAACAAATTAACAACTCATTATTCATACGTTCAATAAAAAAAAATGAATAATTGTTATTTATTTATTTTGATTTAATTATGTAATTTTGTAGTTTTCTGATTTGTTTCTCTTTCGACTTATCTATATTTATTAAGCGTATTCAGTGGGACTTAATGAAATAAAGAATTGTAGGTATTGCAGGTAGTTGAATAACTACCTCTAAAAGATCTTTGTTAAGATAGATCACAGGCGAGGCGCTGGTGAGTCGTATTTTTAACTGACTCGCGGATCTCTGATATGAAAACGAAAGGATGAGTGCTTGAAAATTTTATGGTGACATTCTTATGGCTTATCTATGCCAAATCACTCGAAATAGTATTTATTTCATTAAGTTTAATTTTAATTTTAAAACAAGTGGTCTTATAATTATGCACCATACTGCATGTATATGAGTTTTAATTCTCTATATATATATATATGTCAGATATAAAATAGTCTTGTGATTTTTCTAAAAAATCATTAACATTAATTGCCATCTGATGATTCCTTTGGTAAGGATGAAATCTATAGATCATGGTAGCTGTTCACACCCATACCCACACCATTTCACTCTCTTAAAAAAAAAGCAAAATGCAAATTTTCAAAAACCTAACAATGCCATCGTGCTCCCCGACCCCGATTACCTTTGATGAACCCTATCCCCAAAGGATTTTGTTTGAAGTTAGTTATGTTTATGCATCTGCTTTCCTTTTGGACGAACGAACGAACGAACGCATTTAACTGGTTTTTCGTAATACCCTCCTTTCAGTAGAAGGAATAATTATGAAAATACATTTCTATTGTGATTATTTTTCACACCCTCAAGATGTTATTCTGGTGAAATATTTCTATATGACAAATAATGAATCTTCATTTAACTAAGCCAAGAATTTTATATAATGTGGTTGGAATATATACCGAAAGAATACATCTTTTGAGAATTGGTGGAAATGTTTTAATCATCAGCGACAACTGTTGTATTTATTAATGCGATATATATAGTATAGGTATAATATGGATGCATGAACTCAATTTGTGTTCACTTCACACAACCTCTTGGCAAAGCATGATTTTCTTTTTTTCTGTTGTTCTTCACACACAACTTTGTAACGAATACAAAACTTGAAGCTTTGGGATGAATAGTCTTTTGAAGTTCGTTTACAGTTAGATTAGATACAATTCACAACTGAGCGCAAAATGATCGCTAAAGTCATAATCCGGACTATTGTACACAGTCACTTGTCCTCCTGGTGAGAGAAAAAAAGAAAAAAGACATACAATCGAATTGAGTTTGGCAAAACAAACAAAAGAGAAAAAAATAACATTACCAACGAGCAGCAAATCGACTCGCCTACCATCTAACTCAAAAATGTCAAAAGTCAGAAAGTAGTCCAATCGCTTATCTCCATTCCAGGCATTGTATCGATTGACAGAGCCATTGTTGTAACGAGCTATGATGGAGAATATGAAATCAGTGAATTAGTTGAAGATCATACAACTCATGTCAATTACCACCGTATGTCGTCTCGAGTGATTGATTCTGTGAGGTGGCCCATTCAAGGCCAAGGTCACGAACTCCATTTCCAAGACCAGTGGTGATCAATTCATGTTGTCCTTTGAATTTGCCATCAATGTTAAAGTCTCCGCAGAGCAAGATTGCTACTTTATTGAACGAACCAATCACACTTCGAATTTCACGGAGGGCTTCTCCAATGAATTGTACAAGTTCCCGTAATTGGATTTCCTGTGAATGGCCTTCATTAGTGGGATCCAAATGTGTATCAATCATGAGTAAGTAACTTTCTTCACCCCACATCGCCTTTGCATCTAGTAGCATGTAGCTAGAGCCTTTTCCGGATCGCGTCTGGCTATGTTTGAATTGAACTCTTCGTGCTGTCAAGATCGGCAACACTGAGCGCTGAGCTCCCAACCATAGACCGCCAGTGCCTTTCCACCAAAGAGAAGCCACGTTTAACAATGAAGATGAATATGTATAGGTATTGAATGCTCGTTCGTGGCTCTCTGAAATTGTATCAACATAAAAAGAAAAAAAAGAGGGAATCTTGTAAGAACAGAAGTCAAAATTCATCAACGCACCGATGAGTTCTCGTTCAAGTGGCCACAATGAATCACCCCAAACTTCTTGTAATGCAATCTGTAATTGAACGTATGAAGTACCAAATTAACTCAAAATCAAAAATAAAACACTGTTGTAACATACCACGTCGTGTTGTGCTGCAAATTTTCCGATCTTCTGAGCACGCTCCTGTTTGTCACAACAAAACTGGCGTTCATGAGCCGACAGAGCGAGATCAGATACCAGATAACAGTTCAAGGACAAAATTTTGATGCATTTTGGTTTGTCGAGAACTGATTGGTCAACTGTTGGTATTTTGGAACGAGCTCGCAAACTCCGTTTTTCCATTCGTGGTGATTTTGGAGTCTGTTGTTCTTTGTTCGGAAGAGTTGCGGGATCAAACTCGTGTGGTCGATGCTCCATCATAAAATGAAGCGTACCTTTTTTTCTTTACAAGAAATTTTATTGTTGTCAACAGAAGGAGTCAGCTAAGATCTAATGGAATTTTTTATTTCATCAAGTACCACGCAAAACTTGTCTTCGTAATGCAAATGAAAGCTTATGCAAATCAATAGAACATGAGCCGTAGTCGTATGAAATGTTGGATGTTATTTAAGTCTTTCTGACATAGAGGAGAATACTGTTATTTCACCATCGCCACTTTTCTCTTTTCATCTTTTTATCCTTTGATTTATTTACATGCAGCACATAGGGGCACTCTTTTTCTGTTTCTCGACTATCATTCGACGGCGAGGCTCACCAAAGAAAAAAACGACTACACAGGCTCTAGAGAGAGTGAAAGAAAGAAGAATGACTGAAACGAAAGAAAACAAACACAGCCTTTTTCTACACCGTGATACAATGCAAGACTCGTGATGTTTTATCTAAACGTGACGTCGCAATTTTTTTATTTGAAGCAAAATGAAATGACTAGATTTCTTCGAAGGTTTTATTGGCATTTTTGCTAGAATACATACAGAACTCTCCGAGATATCTACAACAAGAGGACACATCTTATGATATACTCGATATATGAAAATCTCTTATTCTAACCTGTCGCTAGCATTGAGATAAACGATTTGATTAAAACAGATGGTAGAATCATTATAAAAACGAAACATGCAAAGAGTCCGCAAAAGAGCTGATTAACCTGAGGGTTTGGTTTAGCTATTCAAGTGAGTTAACATCCCACCGTTCGAAGGGTGTGGGTGTGGGTGTAGTAATAAATATCCAAACCCACACCCACACACCACACAAAGAAAAACGATGACGATATATTGGTTATTCAGAAAAATATCTGTATACATGAAAACGTAGAATTATTCTTATACTAATAAACTATAAATGATTGACAAAACTGTTTTTTTTAATTAAAAATGCACATGACTTAGAGTTCGACGATTGTTGTTCCATTATGAATATAAACACTATTTATAAGAAATTTTCGAAATTTATATTTTTCTATCTTTTAATACAACCGATATGAACGAATTTCATATTTAAACATTGTTTTATCCGAGATACGTTAACGATATATGTGACGGCACATGTGTTGCTAGCGTGTCCAATGTCTACTAGCGAACACTTCTATCGAGTAGGAGTACCATCTTTGTTACGATCAATTATCCAATTTTGACTAGGCTAGTTCACCATTGACAAAAAAATATGAAGAAATCACTTACGGCTCCTACATACTTTTGATTTTAGCTTATGCAAATACAGTTCTTTTGATATTGGCTACTTTATCCATCGGTCTTTACATACACAGGAGGATCATTCCTACAATCGAACCCAATAAGATCCTATAAGAATCTGATCGAATTTTATATGAATGTCCAATAAACCAACGAATTCCTATCTGATTCCGGGTTGTGGGATGACATTTGAATTCCTAATGTTCGAATAACATTGGAGAATCATCGGATCCTACTGTTGGATTGTGACGTATCCAACACTAGAATCGGACTACCCTCTAATGTTAGCTTACGGTACTAATTAGTGATCAATTAATGAAATGCTTTTTTCCGTGGGATCCGTTAGTGGTTCCGTAACCAGGAATTCCATCGGATTCATTCACCTGGGTAGGTGGTTCAACAGAAATTGATAAAATGAATGTTCAAACCATGATCTTTTAATTATATTAGGAAAAATTGCTACTGTATTGTCAACATTATGTGTATCACATCTGGTATTATTTTCTATATCAATTTTACGAGCAACCCATTACAAATTATGATAATAGAATCATCAATGATATTTGTTCAATGCGTCGGACCAAATCTCGATGATCACATTGAAAATTAGTGCACAAAAGGAAAAAGACAACCTATCAGTAATACTAATGAAGCTATTTATGATAATTTATCTGTTGAATACGACATGCATGATGATTGATCATTTATTTTTTTTATTTTTTCTCCGTATGATTCTTGATCTGATACATTTATCAATTTTTAGATTCATGACTTGTAAATACTGCTACTTTAGTTAATATAATAATATTCGTACTTGCTGTAATATTTACAAACAAAACGATTGGCTTCGAAATTACTTGAACCACTATTAAATGAAGTTTAATCTCTTGTCTTCTCCTTTTTTTTGGTTTATGCACGTTTTATTGTCACACTCGGGAGTGCTTACAAAAACAGGGAAACATGAAGGGACGGGAGAGATAGGAAGTAACAAGCAACAAAGGGAAAAAACAAAAAAGAAAGGANAGGGGGTGTTAAATTCGGGATCATCTTCATCACCTAATCGTTGGTGATGAAGATGTGGTGGTGATAGTAGTAAAGATAAACAACACCACGTGCGAGAGAAAGAGAGAAAAAGTTGTCTTCTCCTTTTTATGTGTTAGCAACATGGGCACTTCAAAAAGTAAGAATGATGCTATCATTATCGATGAAAAAGTATGTCGAATGTTTATTTAAAATATCAGCAAATAACTTTTTATTTTTTTTATTTTCGAAGAATTTATATTGAACCTAATCTAGAAGTTATAAATTCACCACGTATTTAAAATGACCAGTAAATTTCAAAATGACTGATCAAGTAGTTTTATGAGGAAAAAATTTCCGAAAAAACATTTCTAATAATATATTGAAGGCAGAACGTTAGTTAATTCATTAAACAAAAAAGATCTTTTCGAAAATATGCCTCATTAATCATAATAATAAATCAATCTAGAATATTGGCTGATGTACAAGTTTTAATTAAAGTTTTTTTTTTTTAAATATTATCCTTATATCTAAACAAGTGAAGGGTTTTTCTAACGGTACATTGCAAACAACAAAACTTTATCTTCTTACTCAACAAGAATTTCCAAATGTGCGTTCTTAGAAATTTATGTAAAAATTTGAAGATTATGCAATGAAGAGAATGCTAGGGCTAAGGAGGAAAGTAATTAATTAAAAGATTTATATTTTATTTTATTTCTAGAAATAAATAATCCAAGATTTTTAAAAGTCGATAAAAAAGCATACAATTTAACGATAAAAGAAGTGGGATATGGCCTCGAACCTTTTAAAGCTTTTTCTCATCTAAGTATCATCTGTCAAATGTGAGTCTAAATGAAGTTGAACAGTTCGTTCATTAGTCATTTGCAATACGTATTGCACCTGAACAGATATTAACAAATCAGACTAAATAATTAGAAAAAAGCTAAATATCTAAAATTGCCTTTCTTCTTTAACACTCATACAAAAATTTCAGTTCCTCGAGTGGATCTACGACCGAACAGAGATCATTTACGACACCGATATACACGTTGTTCCCTACTTTTTATTCCACTACGTGTCGCCCCATTTGCATCACATCTCATAAATTTATGATGCATAATCTGTTAGGGGACCAAATAAATTAAAGACAAATTGTAAGAGTACGAAATATAAAAGAAGAAAAGAAAATTAATTAGAAATAACAGTAGGGTAGATGGCGAAATATCATGCACCGAACTTAACAATCACTATAATTTTTAAATTAATAATTAATAAAAACTTACTAGAATTTTTCAATGAACCAAAAGATGCCTCTTCCTCTAGTAATATTATTCGTAAATAAGAAAAGCATAAGGGGGAATAAAAGCTTAGTGATAGTTAAAATAATTTTTGTTTTTTATTCTAGAGATAAATATTTTGGAAATTTTCATTGATGAAATTCGAAGGATGTCTTTTTTAATAACTTTTAAATGATTGGTAAGAACTAGAAGAATCGATGGTCTTTTTTTTTATGACATTTCATCAAATAGTCGAGGTTTAATTCTTATTCTTAATTGAAGCTGTATGAAGGTTAAGATTTATTATTGAAATTATTGTTAATTTTATTAACACTACACGATATATGTCTGTTGGATGCATTCCATGTTCTATGTGTATTGTGAACTATTATTATCGAATTACATCGACTTCTTAATTCTATACAACCTAACGAAATGATTAATAATCTTTCAAATTATTAGGATAGCATTTAACTTGATCGAATTACTATTTATTTCTTCATCAATATTTATTGACAACGTTCGATGAACAGTTGAACAAGAAATAGTAAAATCAGTTGGTTGTTAACATATAAAATTTGTCATACAGATGTATAATAAAATGTGTAAGAATATTATAAAGGCATACATATTGACTCAAATGTCATTTCGATACAATCTGTTGTTGTTTTTTCTGCTCTTAATATATTTTTATTGATCGATATTAAACTTATTAACTAGAATATAATAGTTTATCTATATTGTAGTTTGTCTTCATTCTTGATTCATGTCGAAACAATTGTCTAATAGCGCTTATTTAAGATTTACCTTTGTTCACATATTTATATCATCATTGGTTTTTCTTTTGATTGGATTTTTATATGCAAAATCGGTACAACTCGAAGATGCTATGGCGCATTTGAACTCCAATGAATATGATAGATCGAAAAAAAGTACAAAAGATATTGTCAAATTGTTCTCAATTAATCATCGATTATCCAGAATCAGATATTTTTCTGCATATTGAATTATGTGAAAATTATAGTTTTGCATTGAAATTAGGAAAAGTAGTGGCAGCTTTATTAATCTTATGCTATAGCTATTTATTAAATGTATTCTATGGTTCAATTCTTGTGTCGAACATTATGATGGGTTTAATGTCAACTTTTATTTTCTATTTCACAAATGATCAATGGACAATGACAGTATCTCAATCAATCTTAGTTTTAATGAGTGTTGTCATAATTGCTGGTCACTGTTTATTACCAAAGTTAGATGAACATTTGAAGAAGCAATAGTCAGAATGCCAACATGGGTTGTTTGAAGATAAGAGTAACCTTCTTCACGAAAATATTCACCACAATGATGGTCAAAATGAAGACCAATGATGTTCTTGTGCATCACTTTGTGTTAAATCTTACATAATGACATATTAACCGTGAATATATTCGTTGCATATTTTCATATAAGCTAATATGTAATGTAGAATTCAATGTAGCATTCTATTTCTTGTACCATAATATGTGTTGCTTTAAATGAAATAATCTTTCGTTTCAATCCTTTGCTTTATTAAATAAATGTATAAAAAAAATGAGCAAATATGAAGAATGCAAAAATTAGAAAGATGATTTTTCTCAAACGCTTGATTATCCTGCAGAAAAACTATTAGTCTACAAGAGATTTTACACTTAACATATTTCGTACTAGTTTAATGAGGTTATAGAATATATCTGAGTTGCAAATTTCAGCCCAAAATGAGTTACGCTAACAAGCATCTTTTGTTTTTACAAAGATAAAAGATTCATTTTTTTTATATATTAATCAATAGAGAAGATATAATATTCATACTCAAATTCGTGGCTGACTTGTTGTCTTGTTTTGAAGAGTCTAACAAAATGAAATAAGATTTTGAGTTAGAATTTTTGACAAAATATATCTATGAATTTGATTTAATAAAGAGATTTTCGTTGATTCATTCGCTCGAACTTCATATTTGTATTTCTAATCGAATAATTGATGTAGGGAAACAAAATATGACGAATAAATTATATTAATCTATAAACGATTTTTCTGATAAATTCAATGTTTTTCTAATTAAATAAGTCACTGGTATGTTATTTTAAAGAAAGTGCCTCGTCTTGATTTAAACATGTCTAAAAATGGGTCTGAACTAGCATTGACTTTTAGATGGCTGAAAAATAAAACAATTGAAATAAACTATTTCATTGGTTTATTGTAAATAGTCTCAAATAGAATGATATTCTATTATTTAAGAACGATGATAATTATCCAGTTTTTTTAATTTCATCTGATTCAAAATCAATAGATAAATATAATTTTTATAAATAAAACGATTGTTTTTTTTTGTTTTTTTGAAGATCAATTAAGAAAGTAAACTGAACTAAAATCGATTATCTCTAGGTGGCCTTGTTTAGTCTAGCGTATTGTTTTTCTATTAATCAATACAATATAAAGACATATTACATAATCTAACATATACCAATAGATTTCTTAACAAATTTTACCAATCTTATATATTGAACGGTTATTGAAATGTTGTTTTATTGTCAAAAAAGTTTATTAGAAAATTATTAAGATAAGTTATAACTATAAAATCTGCATTATGTACTCAATGAATATTTACTTGAGTAGAAAAATTTAGTCAGCTTTTTTTCGAGCTAATTCAATTGCTCAATAGGACGATCTTTTAACTAATTATATTTGATTATGTCGAATATATTAATATTACATTCGATTTAATTCATCTTTTATCAATTTTAATTCGAGAAAACAATCAAGAAAATAATTACATCTGTAATTTCATTGTTATCTTGGTTCGATTAAACAATAAATATTTATTTTATATTAATTAGAAAATGAGTAGAGAAAGGAAAATAATCTCAAATGAGAATAATTATTTCAAAATAGATGGGTGTGGGTGTTGCGTCTATCTTATCCTCATTGACTTCTACACCTCGACACTCGCATCCTCAAGTTTGTGCCATTTTTCTTCCTAATCGATTGAAATGAATGCTTATAAATTCATCATTTAATCCTTCGAGAATCCTTTCGAAATCTATATTAATGAAATGAATATTCAAATTTGCGTCTCGACCAATATTTATGATTTTTTCTACTGTTTTTTTTCTGTTCAAATCTATTACTTATACAGTTGTTATGTTTTCTGTAATTTCGTTGATTTTTGTCTCTGCTGTTTTTTTTTATCTACTAACTCCTTGATATTGTCGGGGTGTGGGTATGAGTGTTTATCTGGAGAGAACACTACACCTACTCACATACAAACCCACACCCTAGGCTGCGCTAAGAAACATGTTCATATGCTGATACTTATCGTTCTTTTTAATAATTTTTTTTAATAATAAAAGTAAACATCAATTAATTATCACTAAGACAGTCATTTCCAAATTAATTTGTCTTGTATTCCTCTTTACTGATGATTTATGAATACTTCGATATCTATTGCTCAACACATTGTTCAATAGAATCACGATTTTATTCTGGTTGAATGATCCGATTCGCTAACTTCATTATGGTCTTTGTTACAAACAATAACTTTTCTCTATATTTCATTACAAGTTTTATTGGAGTTCCTCTTCAACACTTTGTTTAAATATATGGTTCTATTTCAGGTAAATGTCGAATTACTATAAAGCTACATACAACATGAATACACCCAAAATGAAAAACAACGAATTAGGTTCGTCAGTCATCTAAATTTGAATGGATATTTTCTAACTCTTGTTATTTTCAGTTTCTTCAAAGACTCGTTTTGAAGATCTTTCCAACGAATTGATCTACGAAATATTTAATTATCTTGACAGCTGGGAAATTTATAAAACTTTGGTTCAATTAAATATTCGCTTTCAACATCTATTTCGTAGTGACATTTTTCGTCTCAAAATTAATTTACCATCATTAGCGAAACGAAATTTTTTTCTTCGATGTGAAAAACTTGTAAAACCACATATTAATCGAATCGTTTCACTTTCTCTATCGAATCATTGTGCCATCGATTCGTTTTTCGATTTGTTCTCGATTGATTCGTTTATTCATCTTGAAACGCTCATTCTCGATCGTGTAACATCGAACAAACTTCTCATTCAACTTCTTAATTCTCTCGTATTACTCCCACACTTATTTACACTTTATATTACTTCATCGACGTATCATCTAGATGTAAATCCCATACTTCAATGTATTTTTCTTTTGCCTAAAATCCAATATTGTAAATTAAAATGTTATGGAGATCTTGAAACTACAGTTTTACCATTTAATCATGATGAAAAATACCAATGTCAAACACTTAAACATCTCGTTATCGATGGTGATTTTTGTTTCAATCAGCTTACTCCAATTCTAACATACGCTCCTCAATTGACACATTTATCATGTCGATTTGAATCGAATTTCGATTATAAAACAGATGAACCACCACTACCCATACCATCGTATTTGACTGATATTAACTTGAATTGTAGCAATGTTTCATTTGATGAAATTGAATTTTTTTTATCGAAAACGTCTCATCATTTGCAACGTTTACGTTTAACAATACACGGAAACAACACATTTCTTTGTGCTGACCGTTGGGAACAATTAATTATGAATCATATGCCTCATTTATACATGTTCGATTTCATGTGTTTGATTCGCAAATATGATTATCCTCATGATTGTATTTTATCAGATCGAATATTAGATAGTTTCAAATCATCATTTTGGACAAATCGACAATGGTTCTTTCGATATCAATATCGGTCAAGTAATTGTGGTACTTTTGAGGGAATGTTTTATTCTACTCATCCGTACAGGTAAAATAATTCAATAGATTAAATTAAATTGAAATTTTGACTTTTGTTTTGTCGATTTCAGAAGAAAATCTTATGAATTGTATCGCTGTGGCACCTATGAAACAACTATCAATTCAGTTTCTCATTTGACGATTGGTATCGATTCCGTGCCGATGGATACTTTCATTCATTTTCCAAATGTGACTAAACTCACTCTGATTAAAAATGATATTGACAGCAATCGTCCATTGAAAATCAATCTCAATCAAATTGTTCCGTTGATGCAACTCACTCGTTTAGTAATTCGACAGTCTATATTTAGTATTAGTCAACTTATTGTTTTATTACGATTGTCATTGAATATTGAATCATTAACTTTTATCGGAGTGTCATTTACCGATGAACCTCATTCATTAATCCGACGGAGTGATCAAGCTTTTTCGATATCAAATGCTAGTAAAGTTACTGAACTACGCATCGACGATGAATGCTCATTAGAATATGTTCATTTTTTTGCTCGTCTTTGTCCTCGTGTACAAAATCTTGCAATTGTTACCGCCAGAAGACAACACGAATCAATTGTACGATTCTTACTTTCAGGTCACCTTCAACATCTTTTCTTCCTATGTTTGGGATATTTATCCACCGCAGAGGGCGAACAAATCGAAAGAATGATCGATCGTGACTCACGAATTTTTCATTATACTATAAAAAATCATCATACGGGATGGTATTTGTGGTGGTGGTAGATTTCGTTGTTTTTATTGTGCCATTATGTTATTCGATGTTGAAAATTTTATAAATAAACTGGTTGAAATTATGCTATTTCTAAATCAACAAAATAACGCTATTGAATAGATATTTTTCTTGCTGCTTAGCATATGTTTGATGACAATAATATCATTCGAGTATGACTTTGTGTAACAAGAAATCTCCGATATTGGCAAAAATAAAATAATTCTTACAACGTTCTATCTCCGTTTTTGTATTATGCAAGAAAGATATATATTCATTAAAAAGATAGCGGCATTGATAAAAAACATTAAACATTATTTTTTGAAATTCTTGAACATCTATTATTTATTGTTGATAAAATCAGGCGACCAAAATTTTGACAACAGAACTTTTTCCACTGGCGAAAGACCACTATAACTTCGCCAATATACAATCATACTTCTGCTTTTGACCAATGCACAGTTGACGAAATTTTGGAACCTCATGAAAAGGCAAGTTAAAATATGAGTAAAATACTTCTACTTACTGTACTTGTACTCGTTCTACCTCTGCTAGATGTGTAGTAATATCAGCATGCATGCAATCGAATTCACGAAAATTTTCCATCTAATCTGTTCAATTGACTTCTCGTTTACGATGATCATAAAACAAGGTTAACTGCTTTTATTAATCAAGATCATAGAAAAATATGTACAAAAAATAATTACAATTAGTTCCACTGTAAATGGATTTCGTTCATGACACGTATTATATTAAAATCAAAAAGTAAATTTTCATTCTCAATCATGTTTTTAATTTTTTGCACCATTAAATCATCTGCCATTTCTGAACAAAGGCATAAAAATTGAAGTGGACTATCAGGTTTCATCATTAAATGCAATAAAATATCTCGTACGAATGATTCCATATCAACAGACTGCTTCAATTGAACTTTGAGTTGAATAATACACTGGAAAATTTCCATGAAGAAATAAATTTCTTCTGCCAAGGAGACAGTATTAAGATAAAGTTTTGTAATTCGATTCTTTGCGATTAAATCAAAAGGACTTTCAATATCTTCTAAGAGCGGATCGTCTGAATCTGTATATAAGAAACGGTATATTTCTAATGAATCAAGTTCAGGTAACATTTGTAAAATATTGCTTAATTTATCAATACTAATTTGAAAATAAATGTACAAATGATAAATCTGCGTTACAGTTAACACGTGATGAATGTAATTCTTTACGGTTAATGATTTGCACCACTCTTCTTGATACGCATCCGACAAAACAAGTCGCATGGATTTCGACCATTCATCGAACGAATCCATCGTGTTATCTTGTACGTTATGTTCATACCATCGCTTTCTAAAGAAGAAGAAGACGGAAAATTTATTATTTTAATGCGAAGCATTTTTATTCAATTTACTTGTATGGACGGATTGAATATATTATATTGTCGGATTCGATTTCAGTATCTAGAATCCATTGCCTTTGAATCCAAAATTGAGACATGAATGGATTTTGTGCTCCACTGTACGGTGGAGTTTGATATTCACTATAAAGACTTGCTTGAAATTTGAAATAAAATTCTTTTAGTTGTGTTAAATTTTGTAAAATAAATTGTTCCCATCGATCAGAATTAAGATAAGACAAATCGTCTACGATAGTACTGAAGGATAAAATTTTCAATTGTGAACAATTGAATTTCTTAATGAATATCTCGAATTCATCAAAATTCATTTCATAGTTATTTATTGAAAGATGTGTTAAATATGGAAATGTACCCAGTTTAATGGATTGGACATCGGACTTATTTCCATATAGATTCAAATATTTCAGATAACGAAGATTTGGTGTATATGATAGTAAATTCGAAAGTTGATCGTAAGTACACAAATGATCAATAATAAAATATTCAATAGATGTAATTTGTTCTTTAGTAGCGGCTGGTAATGATATTGTTGTATTAGAATCCTTGGAATCCGGTGTCGTATATTTGATGTATTTTAATTTTGGAAGACTGAAAATAAATTGATAAAAAATGCTAAGATCTTCTAAAGTAGGCAATGCATCGATTTTCAAAGAGAAAAGACGTGTTAAAAGAGCCAATTTTGGAAGAATTGATAAAAGTAAATCTGGTTCAATAGAACTGATCACAAGAGATTCAAGACGATTAAATGATGAATCAAAATTAAACGACGAAGCCATTGGATCAGGTTTTTTCAATGTCCATATACTAATGGAAAATATTTGTTGTTTATTATGAAGTACTATTTTGTTATAGTTATTCATCGTTATCTCGTTTGATTCTGAACAATAAACTTTAATTTTGAGTCGAAGCAATGAAGAACTGAGAAGCTGTTGAAATCGATGATTTAGATCCGAAAATGCTTGGTAAAGGTTACAGCCATCGAGATATTCGAACATTTCGTAAAACAATTCGTTCGATAAATTCTCTATTGAAGTTGTTGACATGGCGAACGAAAGTTTGATATTAATACAAATACAATCTAGAATGTACAAATAGATGATAATTAGTTGTTCAGATGAAGATTTTTTGCTGTTCTAAGACTTAGATCACACTTCTTTTCTTCACGTGATCTTTTAAATAATGATTCACGCCTTATTCGTCTGTTTACGCTATTATACATGAAGAAGTGATTGCACTGATATAACGTATATGTCCTCCATTATTGTTTTTTTTTATCTCTCGTTTTAATTCTTCTGATAGGTTCATATATATGAATACATTTTTGTTGAAACAGATTTTTAAATTACTAAACAGTATCTATTGAAATGATTTGATGTAGATAATTTCTCGAGTATTTTTTCTCAAAAAAATCCCTGTAGTCTGTCTTTTTATTTCCTTGTACATAGGACAACAATAAGAATTGCGATGTTTCATGGTAACTTAGTAAGAATAATTTTTGATTTAGTGGCGGCGGAGCCACTAAGACTTATTTTCTACTTGATGCTTTCATAAAATTCGACGATACAAAAAGAAATATTATGAGCCTCATCTAGCTTAATGACGCTCCGCCACTCCTGATTTGATTTCATATACCTTCTTGTTTTTATCTCATTTGTAATCCATTATCGTCATGAATGATCCTCGGGTGTGGACGTCGGTGTAGGTGAAGTCATTCAACGAGTTCTCCGTTCAATGACAGACACCCACACCCGTCTACCGATCGGCTTACTTCTATACTGAGAGTAAATTTTCATGTTTAAATAATATAGGTTTAATGTGTTCGCCATAAATAAACGCCTGAAGTTCGACGAAGGTACACTTTAAAGATAGTAACTTATGCAGGCTGCTCATAATAAAAATTAAATTAGTTCGAAAACAGCATTGTTGTTGAATTCATTCTCACTCTTCATGACATAAATAATTATTCATATTGGGAGCGATGAAACAAGTCTAGTGAGTCGTTGCATTTTTTGGTGCTTTTTTTCTTCTCGGAGGATTATTTTCTTGGAGATTAAAAACAATTGTGAAGAAAGCCTATGGGGTAATATCGAATTTCTAATTATTAGAAGATCAACTTATATTTTTTAATTTTCGTGAATACGAATAGTATAAGCTACTCAGTAGGTATAGATATGGGCACTGTCGCTATTCTGTTTCTTTTCAATGCAAACGATGCTTTCAAAAGTAATCTACTGTTTCATATTTGTTCTATGCAGGTAATTGTTAAGTTTATTCTTTTTCTATTCATCTAATATCCAAAAATCTTTCAGTTAAAGCAATACAGATTTGATTTTTGTTTTGTTTTCATTCCTCTTTTTTTGATTTAGTGTGTTGATAGTTCAAGTACAATCTCAAGCATGCAATGGAATGTCTCAATATGATTGATGTTCACGGAATTCTGCATGCGCTTGTTTCCGTGTTGCAAGTACTCCTAACACCGGTATTTGTACGGATCGATTGGCGGCGACTTGCTCTGAACTAGTTCCATGCGAAAAATCAACTAACCTTTGCAATCAATCTGATCATCAATGTGTTCACCATCCTCAATGTCAGGATTCTCCTGTTTGCTATCCAATTCCAACATTCAATCAACAATTCTGTCCACCAACACTCAGTAAGAGAATAAATGCTGATCTGTAGAGTCAAGTGTACTTCGCATCTTGAACTTATATTATTTTTCTTGATATTCGCTCACATTTACAATCCATATTAATGTAGTGACAGCGATAACGGGCTAATGAGCTTTTCTAAAAATTAGATACGAAATGTAGACCTAGAGAAAATGAACAATATGGATCCATAAAGTGTGTTGTATAATCGATTGATTACCGTGAATACCAAGTTTGAATCTACTGTTTATTTCTAGTCCCTTGTTCTTTGTGGTTCATTGCAAAGCTACGCTTTCATAAGTTTCGGAAGTTCAGAGCTCGCAGAATCTGACTACTGTTGTAAAATTTGTGTTTCATCAAGTTCTGTTTGCTATCCTATATCAGACTTGAAATTGTCTGCCTTTTTTACAAACATATTCTATGATATTGACTAGAAATATAAACTCTAAATTTTAGCTACAACTACAACTACAACTGCACCTACAACTACTATTCAGCAATCAGGTAAGCTATTGATTGATATTTTTCGAATGATCTTGCTCAATTTTTCTTTAAAATCAGATATAAATAATAATTAATTAGAAATAATTTGATTTTCACTCGAAAAAAAAATGAAGTATAGTACTAATCGCCTTCTTGACTATTTTTCAACATTGCTTACTAACGATTACTCATAAAATCTCCCTACGTATTAAATAAGTTCATGCTTTCAAGATGACATGAGACCTCATATTCTTCCAATTTCTAAAACTTCTTTTGCATCAAGATAAATTAAAGTACATCATACAGAGTGCAAAGTTGATAGCTAAATGTTGAAAGTAACTTCAAAGAGTTACAGTTGTTTAGCTATATGTTTCCAACACTATCATTGACAATTTAAGTTAATTAGAGAAGATTTAACCGATAGAAATTATATTTATGCTATGTATGTACCAGAGGTATGCGGACAGGAAATTTTCATGCCCCGCGAGACTCACCCCGCTAATTTTTAAAACCCGTCCCGTCAACCCCCCCCCCTTCCCGTATAACCCGAAGAAATTTTACATTTAGCAATTTGTTTCTTTTAAATTATTTATGGTATATAATTAATTAAATTTTTTAACAAAAAATCTGAGGCAAAAGTGTAGGTGGGGTAGTGTCCATTTATTTCATGTCTCTGTAATGCTACGCTTCATCAAGGATATTACAATTATAACTAATATTTTATATTTCTGCTTATTTTATATGTGTGCAGATGAACATACCATTTTATTATTGAAATAAAAGCTGATGTTTAAGTATAAACTTTCAAAAGCAAATTCGTTATATTTTTTCTAAATTAAAATTATTGATAATTATAATGTGTTTTAATTAACAACGAAGAACTACAAGTGAAAAATGTATTGACATGTATCGGTTTGATGCGATTTATACTCCAAAAAAATACTGAATTCTGGAATTATTATATCAGCTTGTATGTATAAAAGCCGATACAGACCAACACATATTTCTGGTAGTTGATCCTTTTTGTAGAGTAGTGTACAAATTGTACCCGTATTTGCGCAGCCATCGCTTCTCCGCATGGGTATTAGTAAAATTAACTGAACAATTTATTTTGTGCTTTGTCTTTCTTTTTTTGATAGTGAAATATCTTTGCAAATAATGTTATCATAAATCAACGAACAGAAACTTAGTAGAGCAGTTGGTGCCATTATATTTTTACATCCTAGGTAGTTCAACAAATGGCACTTGATCATTTAAAACTAGAATATCCTCAAACAGTCAGAAAACAGAAATTTACACGTTTTGACAGCAACCCCTTTTTCGTTTTCTAGGCATTTTGAACTGAAGGAAAATGTCTGAATTTTCGTATTTTAACAGTTGCAATAATTTCAATATGAATAGCGTTTCAATCCGTGGCATGGAAATGTATCCATGCCATTGCAGTCAGTTCTTTTTTACCGCACTATAATGCTAGAGTAAACTTACTTATAATTATTAAGCGAAATCTATGTACATAGAATAACTTGTAAATAACAGAAATGGAACCATTAAAAAAAAGACTTTATTACGTTCTTCTTAGATTCTGCACATCGATTGTGATATCATTAACTGAACTGTAAGAATTTTACTATTTAAAATAGTGATATTCGACAGGTGTTCCTATTTTGTTCTGCATGACAATCCAGAATGCGAATTCAAAGAGGAAACATTAACTCGTTAAAATGTTTTCATCGACTAAATATTTTTGTTAGGTCTGTTAAAATGCATCGATGAAAAAAAGCACCGTTTTCAAGCGTTTGATTTGCCAAATAAACTTGCTACATGACGAGGGTTGTGCTCGTCAATTTTCAATCTCAATGCGTGAAAACAGCGTTTACATCTTATATCTGATTGTTTGGCCATTATAAGCATTTGAAAAAATCAAAACTACTAGAAATAATTTCTTTGAACACCGAAAGTAAAAGAATTCATATTATTTAGTAAGTATACTAGAAAAGTAGTTGGTAATATATACAATTTATCATTTCGCTTTTTTCTTGACTTTCCCTGTGACATGGAATGCTATCTTACAAAAACAATGAACGTGTGGTGTATAATCAAATGTAACTTGAGAAAATAATCCAACAAAATCGTGAGTGATCGAACATGAATCATTAGTTAATTTTATTTATATGAAATCAAAAGCCTATGTAATAAACATATCGATTTTTAGAGTTCTTAAATAAGAAGAGAAAGATTGGACTTCTTTGCATAACTTCTATGTATATATATATATAAGTTATTATTTCTATAGTATTATTGTTTTCCTCATTAAGATAGTTCATGTGACTTTCCTCTATAAAAATTGTTATTTTCTATAATAATAATAATAATAAGGACGTAAGATTCTAATCTTGAGGACTTTTATATCAGCATTGATGCCTGATTGCAACAGAATGAAACATTCTCATATTTATATCTCCTCACAACGCATGTGGAAGAGAGGAAAAATATTTTTGAAGTATTTCTTCCGTTGCGTATGGAAAGATGACGATGGTCTCTTTAAAGATTTTATTCACTTGTGTTCTAGCCATCCCCAATATTACTGGCAATGCTACTTCGGTAAGGAATGGCGTTACTGTCGCTGGAGGTATAGGTTCAGGCAATGCCACCAATCAGCTACATCTCCCTTCTGGTCTCGTCGTTGATGATGATCAAACAGTGATCATTGCTGACACCTGGAATCATCGTATCATTCAATGGAAGAAAGATGATACGAATGGGCAAGTTGTCGCTGGTGGAAAGGGTCTAGGGAATCGAATGGACCAACTGAACTATCCAAGCGATGTTTTGATCGACAAAGTGACGAATAGTTTCCTTATTTGTGATCAAAATAATCGACGAGTTGTACGATGGTCTCGCCGTAGTAGCCCAACACAAGGAGAAATTTTGATCAATAACATCTTTTGTTATGGATTATTCATGGACGATCAAAGATATCTCTACGTTTCTGACATCGGAATGCATGAAGTAAGACGATATCAAATGAGTGACACGAATGGAATTCTCGTGGCTGGTGGAAATCGGGCTGGTTCTGGTCTAAATCAATTCAAACTGCCAGCATATCTCTTTGTCGATCGACAACAGAATGTCTATGTGTCAGACAGAGACAATAATCGTGTGATGAAATGGGGAAAAGGTGCAACAGAAGGAATCATCGTTGCTGGAGATCAAGAAAAAGGGAGTGCTCTGACACAGTTGTCGTCTCCTCACGGACTATTCATCGATACATTGGGTGCCATACATGTGGTAGACTCAGGAAATCATCGAGTGATACGTTGGGTTCAAGCAGACAAGAAACAAGGCACTGTTATGGTGGGTGGAAATGACTTTGAATCTAGAGAAAATCAATTCTACAGCCCAGAGGATTTGTCTTTCGGTCCACATGGTAATCTCTATGTCACCGATAAGTATAATCATCGTGTTCAACGATTTTCTCTCGAATAAACTCATGAAAGATGTTTGAATTATTTTTCAAATAAATCGCGAAAGGACAATGAAATGTCAATGGAATGAACGAAAGGGTGTGGATATCAATCTACAGATAACATACACCCGATTTTTTCAGCTAAAGTGTTCAGTACTTTATGAGGAACACAGATTAGAAATTAACGAGAGAGGATCTTTGAAAGGGCAGAAAATAAAGCGTTAACGCAGATAGTCATATACCAATAGATTCAAAGATGGGTGTGAGTATGGATGTAGTCATTCAAATAGTCCTCTCATCCACACCCACACCCCATTCCATTCTCATATTCGTTCAATATGACGAGAGTGCTCCTCATACCGAAGTCGATAGAATTTGTCAAACGATGGCAATCTATTGATTGTGTGTTTGATTATTTCAATAATCACTATGGTCAATGTCAAATCTACTCACTTCCATTTATTAGTAATCGTCTTGATTTTAGTTTGAATTGATTTCCTTTTTTTGGCATTAAAAGCACGTTTATAAATGTCATTTTGCTATTATTTTTTGACGATATTAAATATTTCGGAAATGTTTTCTTTGAATGTGTTACACACGCTTTATTTCGTCTTCAAACACTTGGAATAGCTAATCAGTAAGACCAAAAAAAGCAAAGCAAATATCATTGAATTTTCTAACTTATCAACTGCTAAGAATAATCATCAAGACATCTAACAAGCTAGAAATAATTCTTCAAATGTTGGAAAACAGTGATTTTTCTCAATTATGAAGCAAATTTCTTAGTTCTTACTGAAATTTCATTTGAACGACAGATCATTTTAAAATGGTTTCGTTCAATATAATATCGGAAAAAACGACCTTATCGTATCTTGAATTTTCGACAATGGAAAAACACAGTTCTGCAGCTCTTTTTGTTCTTCACTTATTGAAAAACATAGCGACGGACATTAGTAATGATAGAAAAAAGGCATTGCCATCGTCTGACGATGATTTCCTTCAATAAGATATTTGATTGTGATGTTTTATTTGGGAATAAGAGAGAGAATTTTCAATGAAAGATCAACAGAAATGAAAGTATGGCATTCTTTGAAGAAATGTTTTAGTAAAAATACGATTTGATTCAGCGGAAACAAGCAAAATAGATCTATAAATTTTCGGTGACCGATTTTGGACAAAAGAATCTTTTCTTCGAAAAAGAAATTTATCAACTAAATATTATAGAGGTGGCATTCAGTTTTTTCGAATCTCTTACACGTTTATTATTGAACGTCTTTCTTTGTACCTTCGATACAGTCGCCCGTATACAAAGTGACCTAAATATTTTAACGAAAGATTGGAACAATATGAAATGAAATTAGATATATGATAGAGAGTTAAGAGCAAATAAAACCTATCCATTTACTTTTGACCCATCCTGAAGCATATACAGACGAACTATTGTTTAACAGAGACATATATGGAAAGATGTTCCGAGAAAGAGATTGTAAGATTTATTGAAAAACAGCCCGAGACACAATTATTAAATTGAACAACTTTATATATATCGAAACGTGACTTCAATACTATTTTTGTTGTCGTAAGTTCGTACACATTGAGATATAGGTCATAGTGGGTTCGGGTGGCTTACGGTAGCTGGTAGTGAGCCGTTTAAAGTGATATTTAATCTTTTTTGTCAAACGTTTTTCCAACAAAATGACTTTCAGCTAGGTGCTATGGTCGGAGAATTCAAAGCTCTATCGATTCATAATAAGGGTATGGGTGTGGGTGTGTATCTAACTCATGATCAGCCCATACCCACACCCGCAAAAGTCTTAAAGTAAGGTAACTTCTCATAAATGCGGTTTTTTACTCCAATCAAGCAAGCAATCAAACGAACAAACGCATTTTATTTCATGGGACTCTCCCTTCAGTCGAGGGAATGATCAACATACGATAATGTTAATAGTGCAATTTTTTAATACAATAAACTTAGCGGCGTAACCAGGATTTTAAGCTAGGGGGGGGCTCGGCCCCAAGACTCTTTAGAATTAATTAAAAACTGAATTTCTTCCNCCCTCGTGGTTACGCCACTACAATAAACTATGCGCACTAACAAAATCATCTATTATTTTTAAACCATGATCTTTTGCTTTTTTAAGTACTTTTCCTGCAATAGTTGCATTATCAATAATGCGAGCTAATTCATTAAGTATTGTTAAATAACCAAGATAAAATAAATTATAATGTTTTCCATTAGTTAAATAATTAAACTCAAAATGAATATCACTAAGTAACGCATTAGTGCCACCTTGATTAAAAAATGTTCGTCGACCCGTTGATTCAACACTTGTAGCATAGGTAAGTATATGATGTTGATGTAACACCTTTTGTTTTATGTAATTGATTAATATCAATATTAGACTTTTTACAATCATTAATTAACCATTGCCCATTATCATCATTACCTAATAAGGCAAAAATAGATAATGGTAGATTATATCCATAGAACGGGGTGTGGGTGTGGGTGTGACTATTACATATTGACATTAAATAGATTAGATAAGACATGTTTTTTTTTCAAATTATTTTTCAAAAGAAAACGCGAACAGAAAAACAACGATGATGAATCTAATGTCAAATAACTCGTTCCTTCGACATTTGGGATCGTTTTATTGTTCAAAAATCTCAGTAACGTATCAATCAATACTATTTAGGGAGTGAGCATATGTAGGTGTGTAATGCGAATAAAATGATTTTTGGCATGGATCTGCTCTTGTGTATCTAGATTAGTACCAGATCAACTGATCCTTATGGTTAAATACAATGAGACTTTTGTACAGATTGATTTTTATAACACATGGTTATTCTATTTCGATTACTATCAACTCTTAACTTAATCTATATTAAACCATAAACAGAAATGTGATAGGATAGTGTATTTTATGATGATCTTTTGTATTGATTTTTTTCTTGTTTTTGCTCAAAATGTGGATGTAACATTTGTGAACTTAACGAAAGTTACGATACTGAAATTCGCATCTAAGAGTCAAATAGAAATAAAAAAAAACAATTTTGAATCAAATTTTCGAACAAATATCGATTATATTTAGTGATATTTTCAAAATATATCCTCATAAGAAAACGTCGGGATAAAATTTACGAGAAATTATATTTAAGTAACTAGCAGATTAAAAGATCATTTTTGAGAGTGTTGGTATTCATATAGGTTATGCCATAGTTCATACATCTACACTTATCCATACACAGAAAACTAATTTATTCATCGAAGTAGTTATTTCATCTAAACAAATGCTTGCTTTCAATCACATGTATATTTTCGTATCAGGATACGATTCGTAGTTACTTGCCATATCAAAGGATTTAAAGTTAAGTAGAATGTCTTCGTGTGACTTTATAAAGAGAAGTGCAGAGCAACTTAATCATATAAAGATAAGGAGATTTTAAAAAGCGGAAGTGATATTTGGAATAGACGTTATTATTTAATCGTTCTGTATATATAAGAGCGTATGCTAGAATAGTTCCTTCACTATTTCTTACCGTATCATTCGTTAGCTTTCATAAGGTATTTCGATGCAGATTCGTATATTGCTGTTGCTAGTGATGGATCTGCAATTGATCATCTTGGCACAACAATATGGAACATGCAAAGCCAAAAATGGTCGAGCTGGAGAATGTATTAATACCGGAACATGTGCATCCAACGGCGGAACTTCGGATCCAGCCAATCTCTGCCCTGGTGATAAATCTATCCAGTGTTGTACATATGGTACATGCAGGAACAGGCAAGGGATTGCAGGCATTTGTCAACCAGTTTCCACTTGTAGCGGAATATCCGATCCAGCCAATCTTTGTCCTGGTGGAAACAATATTCAGTGCTGCACCAGTGGCGACACCAGCGGCGGTAAGGATATTTCTATTGATGTTTAATTGTGTCTACTATATCGGGACAGATGTATGAACTTATTTAGGTTTGTAAGAAAAAGTCTGACTATTCCTGTTCACCGTCAGTCATATCCATACCTCTCCCCAGAGATGGGCAAATCAGCGTTTTTTCGACTCAAGTCAAGTCAAGCCAAGTCATAGATAAGCCAAAGATAATTTCAAGTCAATTGACTTGAAATTTTCTTGACTTAAGTCAAGTCAGACGTTTTCAAGTCAAGTTAAATTGAGTCATAATTCATTCAAAAAATCATCAAGTCAAGTCAAGTCAAGTCTGACTTGACTTGACTTGGCCCGTTTCAAGTCATTTTTTGACTTGACTTGCCCATCTTTGATTTATTATTTATATTTTTCTTCTACATTTCAAATTAGAGTTCAAAAATTCAATTAATAAAAGGTCTCTATACATATAATTTTTGACTTGACTTGAATTTCTCTGTACGACTTGTTGCAAGTCAAGTCAAGTCATTCTGAAAATTTTCAAGTCAAGTCAAGTCTGACTTGACTTGACTTGACCCGTTTCAAGTCATTTTTTGACTTGACTTACCCGTCTCTGCCTCTCCCATAGATTCAACCCAATGCCTGTAAGGAACTGTAAATACACAAAATTGACTTTTCCTTTTGAAAATAATTTGTCAAGAGTGTCATCGATGTAATTTCCAATATCACATGTATACTCTCATAGCTTTTTCATGTTATTTACTCTCAGTTTTGAAACTACGTGTTAAATTGGCACCTGATGAAAACTAATTGTATTTTAATGATATTTCTACGTGGTAACTATGTATCCCATGATTACAAAAGAATCCATGACGCCATCCAATGAATTCTCATAAAAAATTTCAATTTTCTATTTGAGATACTTTAAAGAAATTTTCAGATATACTCACTTTTAATCGAACATATTAAAGGTTATAGTACACTAAATGATGACACCTATCATCGGAGAACTCGATGGTCTTGCATTTTATAATAACATTGGGTTTTTTTTAAATTTAAAATGAGCTTTTGTTCCATTGAATTCTACCAACATCTTGCTTTTTACATATTTATTAAGAAATTATCGAAAACTATTTCTCATATTTATCTAATTAGTAAAGCAACTATTAATCTTTTGAAGGTTTGCCCAGTTTTAATCGTATTATGAATATTGTGCTGCCTCCGTTGAATGGTATTGCACCGCATATAACTAGTCACTATGGTCAAAGAAACGGTGAATTTCATGGCGGTACTGACTTCAATTATAATGTTCCTGGACAATATGGTATCAATATGCAACATCCAAATGTTTACTCACCTGTTGATGGGGTAGTTACTTTTGTTGGAGGAAATTACGGCACAGTAAAAATTGATACATCAACCGGTTATAGCCATGAAATCTTACATCTACATACTACAAAAGTTCAGGTTAATAATAATGTGAGATCAGGTCAACTTATTGGTACTATGGGCGGCAAAGGACCAAATGGACTCACCCAATATGCACAGCATGTACACTATCAAATCAAAGATCGAAGCGGTCAAACAAGAAATCCAGAAAATTATTATTGAATAATATGAAGCAGCATGTAAAGTTCATATAAACTCTTCTCAGATTATTATGAACTTTTAACTGTATCACACTAAATCTTATCTATATTCAATATATTTCTAGTATCTTGCCTCATTTTTGCTTCGAAAAGTTATCCGCGCAGTTGATCTGAATCTAGTGTACTTTGGAAGATTTTGTTTTCAGCATTAAGTAAATAATTTATAATATGGGTGTGGGTGTGGATGTGTCAAGCATACCATGATCCAGATTTCGTCCTTGCTGAAGGGATTCATCATATCGTAATGGCTCTGTTATACCTGTTTTAAATGATTTCAATTTATTCAAAAGAAATCGTAAACAAAGTGCAATAATCTATACAGTATCTTAACTAAATTCTAAAAGAACCTACTGTCCATTTCAAAAAAAGGGCGGGTGGGTATTTTTTGAATAACTTTTGATAGGAATAAGATAGCGAGGTGGGGTTTTCACCATTCGTGAGTCACGAGGGTGGGTGTGGGTGCGGGTGTGTGTCTGGCTCATGATCAGCCCGTGCCCGTACTCACACCCACATCCCCAAAATCAGATTAATCCGTGATCGAAACGCGTCGTGGTAGCTTCCTACACGCCTCGTTTCAAGTGATTTGAACAAGTTTGCATTTACCTTTCGATTTTGTTCGTCAAAATTGAACTGGGTAGGTTGGTCTTGAATTGGATTTGAATTTTCTTTGAAAAATTCTGAATCGAACTAAAGATACTAAGCCACCTGATGAGATCCATTAAGCTGGATCGCAACGCGTCGCGGTAGCATCCTACACACCCACACACCCTCACCCTGAGACATGAAATTCTAGACTCGCGGTTCTCCCGAAGGAGTATAGTATAGAGCTACCGCCTACGATTGTTTTGTTTTTTTCTCGTAGAAAGTTACTCGAGATACAGTGCATGATGCTCGCTATTGGAAAACAAATGAAGCCAATAAAAAACATAGTTGCTGACACACCGTCTTCGCCATTAACAGATAACACTGATAACAAGCACATGTGTAAGGGGGAAAAGCTATTTAGGTTTTATTTTGCAGCGTTGTTTATTCAAAATTCCGTTAGAACATCAAAAAGGTGAGTATGAAGTTTTAGGAAGGCAACCTAATTTCTATCCTTGCGAAATGTAGGCTCTTCTGACAAATGAGAGCGAATAAGACGGCTTTATATTTCAAGCATTGTCGAAATATTTTGCATAGGAATCGTATGAAAACAAACACCCAAAACGATTGTTGGAAATATGTCATATCGCCGTAGTAATTTCAAAATAATTCATTATATCTGGTTCGCATAAGAAAGCAGAAATCGTTGCTATGAATTGAATGTCATGGTTGGTTTTCATCTATAAAAGTTTCCATCTTCATTAACTAGTGTTGAGTTTTGGATAAGTGTTCATAAAAACAGTGATGTAGGCTCAGCTGAAGAAATACTTCGTATTTACTACGCGATATGATCCTTCAGAGTATTAAAAGCACAATTGGAATTTATCAGATGAAATAGGACTTCGTATCTTCAGCATCAACGAGTAGTATCAATACATAAATGCTTAAGCGTACCGTATCAATGTTGGATCCTTAAAAAACATATTTATTTTATTTGTCGTTCTTTTTATTTCTAGAAAATGTCAAACGGATTTCAGTACGAGTATATGAATGAAGCGTCCATCGACAGTGAACTAATATGCATGATTTGTACTAAACCACTGGAGGATCCACAATGTACGCCATGTGATCATATATTTTGCAAAAGTTGCATTACAGAATGGATTCAAAGAAATAATATGTCATGTCCTACATGTAGACGGCTTCTTCGAATTCACGAGCTGATACAGGCAAGTCGTACTGTGCGAAATATTCTCGGTAAGATTCACGTGAAGTGTATGACATGTGGGAAAATAGACTTGGAGCGAAGCGATTTTGAACAGCACGTTGCCATTGCATGTCCCGCAACCTGCTTAGCAGCAGACATTATGTGCCCATGGGCAGGAACACGTGGGCAGCTTGACAATCACTTGACCAATTGTAGTTATCAAAATTTACGACCAATACTCGTGCCACTCATGGCTGAACGGCAACAACTCAAAGAACAGGTGTCGCAACGAACAGCTGCATTGAATCAATCTAAAGAAGAGACTATGCAGTTGAAAAATGTAATAGAGCAGCATAAAATTCGCACTGAGGACAGTCGTCGACATTTCAAAGAACGAGAAATGCAGGATAAGACTCAGATGGACCAATATCTGAATAAATGTCGAAAACTCGAAGAACAATGGAAACGAGAACAAAATCAAAATGAACAACGCCATAACGAGGTCGACCATCTCAAAGATCAAAAGAAGGAACTATTAGCGCAAGTGGATAAATACAAGAAGAAGTTTCAGGTCCTTACAGAACAGCTAACACGAGAGAAAACTCAAAATGATGCGAATCAGAACCAAATTTGTTCTCTCAAAGAAAAAATAAAGCAACAGACAACTGCAGCAGAACATTATCGTAATGATACGATTCAACTTAACGACCAATTGAAAAAACAGCGTGCTAAAACAAGCGAATATGTGACTGAAGTCAAAATGATTAAAGAGCAAATGAAAGATCAACATCGGATTGAAATTCAACAACTAAGAGATAAGGAAATGCATTACAAAGCTGATATCGCTGAGTATCAGAAAGAAATAAAGCAACTCAAGCAACAGATGGAGCATGAACAGATTCGTCTTAATGAAATTCACGAAGAAAATAAGGATGAAAACAATCATATGCAACGCACTGTTCAGGTACAAAATGAGCAGTCAATGGGCGAAACGGATAGTGACTCAGGTGAGTATCGACAATGAAAGTTCGTAGATAAAAGTCACATTTCGTATATTAATTAGAATAAGTTCCTCAAATTATTAAGCCGAATTTTTGGCGCTGAAGATATTCTAAAATCACCCGAGAAAATATTTCAATGACTCCCGTGCAACCACGGGCAGCGCGACAGTGGGAGGTAGAAGGGGTTAGCTCTCCTGTTCTGGAAATTTTGCCTTTCAAATTGAAGGAAGTTGAAGAGATTTTCCTTGCAAATTGGAGAAAATTGAAGGTAGCTTTTCGCTAATATTCAGTGAAAAATTTTTATGTAAGAATCATGATTATTTTCGATTATAGACGAAATAGTTTTATTTTTTGTAAAAAAATCACAATTTTCAGAAATAATTCGATTAAAATCAATTATTATCGTCCTAATGGCTTAAAATCTCAATCTAATCACATCTAATTTCAGATTTTTAATCGATTAAAATCCATTTAGTCATTTTAATTAATTATAATCGATTCCCAAGATGATCGGGTATGTCTAAAGACCACATTATATATCTTCCTCTCACACTGACATTTTTGAGCACAAAAAGTAAATTTTCACCCACTCAGGTCGAACTAGTCATTTTAGTAATAATAGATTCCAAAGAGGACCAAGCGTGTGGAAACGTAACATTACACATATGCTATCTGATAGTGACATAGCTGAGAAAAAAACTTTAACTGATTAAAATCGACTTATTTATTTTAATCAAGTATAATCGATTACAAAGCATTCAAGTATGTGTAAAGAGCCCATTATACATATTTCTCTGAAACTGAATTTTTGTGGAAAAACAGTAAATTTTAACCTATTAAAACCGAGATAATCATGTTAAGAATAATAGATTCCAAAGGTGGCCAGGTCTGTCTATGGAGGAACATGACATATATAAATCTCTGAAACTGATAGTGTTGAGGAAAAAATAAATTTTAATTAATTATAATCGACACCAAAACGAGTTAGGGATATGTAATGAGGTAAGCTTATATTTATCAGTACATGTTTATTGTAGTTCAGTCGGTAGAAGTTCAATCATCGATTAAAAGTCGATTAGGAGAATGCATAATACTTCGATTCTTGGCAATTGTTCTCGAAAATATTGGAAACATTCACAGCTGGGAGGGCAAGGCCATCGGAGACCGTGAGATGGAGAGGCTGGGATCATCAGGGATTATGGGGAGATGGTAGAGCAAGGCTATCAGAGATCGTGAGAGATGGTAGGAGATGCCACCTCTTTCCGTGATGGATGAGAGGACGACCCATTCACAGACTGTGATTGATGGTAAGGCAAAGTCATCAAAGATCATGAGTAGCGAAAAGGGAGACCATTAGACACCTTGGCACGTCAGAGTGCGAGGCCGTCAGTGACACGAGAGATGATTAGGGGAGACATTCCAAAGTCATGATGGATGGGCAAGAGAATCGAGTGAAGGTAATCGAAATGACGCACGACTATATTAGAATTAAAATTGATTAAAAATCAATTCTAATCAAAATTTTCAATCGATTGTAATCGGACGATCATAATCACAATTATAATTGACTCTTTGTGATTATAATCGATTGATAATTTCTGATTTTAATCGATTTCAATTTTGATTTTGTTGCAGAATAATTGGATTTGTAATTTTGATGATGGCCACCGGATTTTGAAATTTTAATCAATTTTAATCGCTGAAATTTTCCGCTGGGTAGAAGAAAGTTCAGAGGCATCTTCTCAGAAATATAGGAAATTCATCTGAGACTTCAATTTGGCATAAGGTTAGTATTCAAGTTCCATCGATTGTAAAAATATTTATTGCAGTTTTCTTCGTCATTCGAAGATGAAAATGAAAGGGTTGTCCTCTTTTTCTTCCCTATAAGGTTTTATAGTAAAAAAGGACAGCTAATAATAATAAGAAATTGGTATATACATTCTGCGGTTGTGATGATGTGAAAACAAATTGTTCTAGTATATTAATTCACAAGTATTCATTTTTGAATCAATTAAAAAAAACAAGTAGCGGAAAAATGGTAAAAAAAATAAAACTGATCGTTCACAGAGAATAAAAAAAATGAAGAAAATGATCCTGAAAACGATGAAATAGACAAAAATGGCATTTTCTTCATGTTTTTCGCACGAAAATCATCATTCTTTTTAATTTCATGGATCGAATTCAGTTTGTATAAGTTATTTTCTTTAACCTTTTGTAACATTTTTAATGAAATATATAATGAACAAATTTTTTTTTCTTTTAGTTAATTATATTTTAACAGTTTAACCTGATTTTCTAGCATTTTATAGAATCTTAAAGATATCCTCCCGTTTTCAAAAATATCCCCCTTCCCCTCCCCCGCTCTTACTGCTTCGTGCCGTCCCTGCGTGCAACTCATCCTCAATTAGTGAACATAGGTGTGAATGAAGTTGTTATTCACCCCATCACATATGTCAACATCCGATAGGGATTACACGGCAAGCTTTTTTAAAGTTGTAATGGCTCGATTTTCTTATAGACAACAGCAATGCATTTTGAATCTAGACAGAATATTATTAACGATAGACCCATGATAGGAATTTCTCTAAAGACATAGTGACTACAAGTTAGATATGAGTGGTACATTTTCTTATGTCGCTTTGTCGAAGTAGCGTTTTTAGAATGCCTTAGTAAACAGTGTCTAAAGTTTAGCACACAAGGGATGCTTGGCAGATTAGTACAACCACCATAGTTTCTCTGATAATAAAATATCCAATCGCTTCTTTAGAACGAATCTCTTCTGTATGGTCTCGCTTGTCGGATCGCAATACTCTGTTTAAACCAAACCAAAAAACTCGTCGACATACTAGAAAACGTTTGGCACATCGGCATTGTCAATATAAATAAAACGTTTCGCCACGTGATTTGATCGTTTATACTATTGATGCTAAGTATTTTGTTTAATGAACAGTAATTTTATTGTGATAGTCGATGGCATATCTTATGTTGCTTATTAATTGTGAGTTCATGTAATAATTCATTTCAAATATCATTAAAAACCGAGAATACACTTCAACTTTTCCAGTAATAGCAAATTTATCTGTCTAGAGGGTGTCGTCGTGGGTCTCTGAATCGGCGTTTTTCGTCGTTCATCAACATATCCGTACCCACACCTCCGTAATTTGTTGTTTACCAATACTTTGAGAGAGAATAATCTAAACGGCATACATATATAATTTAATCTGACCAACTAAATATTTTTCTATGCTATTCTTTTTAAAGTTCCATAGACATGAATATAAATATCTCGTCCACGAAATAACGTGAAACGATTGCTTTGTTGAGATTAAAAAGTTAAAGTTCAGTGAGGTTAGGATAGATGCCAACACTAAGAATGCATTCGATGGAAGCAGATTCAACACTGAGTGATTTGACATTTTGTTGAATTCTTGGTAATATATCAATACAAAATTGATTTAGCACTGAGTCAGAAATTGAACAAATCTCATCAGTTGATTGTGACATGGAAACAAACTTGAGTATGTTACTGAAGATTTGTTGTTGTGCTACAATATCAAGTCGTTGATTGCTGATACCAAATAAAGAATCAAGAACGTCAATATTGTCAAGTTTCTTCAAAATGAGAAATAATATTTCATTTGGAAGATCAAGATCACATCCACACCCTCATGTTTCCGCTTCATTTAGGAAATTGTCAATTGAATTTAAAGAGTTATCTCGAGAAAATGTATCATCTACACTGAATTATGCAAAGTAAATTCCCAATAATGTGTAGCAGCTATTGAAGCTCTGATAATAATCTCGTGATAATAACATCTGCATTTGAACTTGTTCGAATGATCACATATCTGCCAAAACGCTTCGCCACGTTGTTCCGTTCTTTGTTGTAAATTCTATGATTGCATTGAGATAGCTCCATTGCTTAGTTCGATGAACAAATCCCTTCAGACATCAGCACATTTTAAATATGATTCGAGATCTAAACAACGAACGAAGGCGATAGATGAATGGTATGTCATTCCTCATATCTATGGTATGAGTTGTCTGCTAAATAATTCCGAGAAAATTCTAGTGTACTTCTGAAGTTGAAGTCAGAAAATATAATTTCATATAGCATCTTTTGTTCTCTTCAATAGAGATTTACCCTAAGTGATAATCAATAACTACTATAAAGTTTAATCATTTCGTTTTTCTTCATCATGAAATAACACTTAGTTAATATGAATGATTAAAAATTAGGTACAACTTAAAATGTCTCATGTAAGATCCTTTGTATAATCGTGTAATACGATCAAAAAATGTTCTTTATACTGTTACTGTTACTTTGGTGATGGTGATGCATGCAAGACTTCTTTTATGTTTGTTTTTCTTTGTGTTTTTATTCGAATAAATCGTGCAAAAAAGAAAAAAAGTAATATTTATCCTTTAGTATGCAACGCTGGGAACAGAAACATAAATAATACATTTCTACTCAGTTAGCTGCTCTTTCATAATAGCCGAATATCTATTTTATTGATTCTGAAAATTAAAAAAAATGATCAGGAGAATTTCGTCACTAATGAATCAATAGAAAACTTGAATAGTGTTTTAAATACATTGAACATACTCCCCAACGTTGATAAATATACAAACGAAACGGTGCAACAAATTGTAAATATAATAAATACTCACAATGGACCAATTTTCATGTAATTCAAGAATTCTATCACATCCTGTATTTGCTAAACTCTTTGTACTTTATCGTTTAGTTCTGAAAGGATGCCGATCGAACTATTCCTCAGCAAATGAAATAATTCATGTCTATGATTGGAGCCTGAAAAACTCCTGTCGTCTTGTTTTTCAAATCAGCATAGCCAGAAAAGTGCCTCAAATTTCGCTAAAAAATATCTTTAATTTGTTTTCAAGATAACATTATTTCTTTGGATGGCTTGTTCATTTTACACACTTTCAAAGCTGACTTGATTATATAGTTTGTTGTTCATGATTTGTGTAGATCGTCTTTATTCCTTGTCATATGACTGTAATTATTGGAAGCTCTTTCGAGAATATCATGAATTAAGTGCACATTAATACAAATCTATGAATAAACTATGGACTTTAATTAGAACCAATATATAAGTTAGACATTTCTATAGTCGCCAGTCAATCATTCAGAATTGTACTATACACAACATCAAGCAAGATATATCTTAATTTATTACTTCAGCATCTAGCCATTTGTCTCACGTCAGCTACTACCTCATAAATACTCAATTCTGAAAATGAGCCTTAAGGTTACACTCAGATTATGTCAGTTAAACTCGTTTGCATCAATTTTATGACGTACCACTCAGCTTTCACCAGCCTATTCAATTCGGGTCGTTTGAATGTATCTATCTGTTGAAAATTTCTTTTGTCAGACACATTTTAAGATTTGTATAGGCTGAACCCGCATATCAGCATGCGTGCAATCGAAATCACGAAAAATTTCCATCTAATCTGTTCAATTGACTTCTTGTTTACGACGAAGTATCGGCTGCTCTATATTAACAAGTTATAGAAATCGTATGTGTTGTGTTCATAAAACAAGGTTAACTGATTTTATTAATCAAAATCATAGAAAATATATGTACAAAAAATAATTACAATTAGTTCCACTGTAAATGGATTTCGTTCATGACACGTTTTATGTTAAAATCAAAAAGTAAATTTTCATTCTCAATCATGTTTTTTATTTTTTGCACCATTAAATCATCTACCATTTCTAAACAAAAACATAAAAATTGAAGTCGACTAATAGGTTTCATCATTAAATGCAATAAAATATCTCGCACGAATGATTCCATATCAACAGATTGCATAAGTTTAACTTTGAGTTGATTAATACACTGGAAAATTTCCATGAATAAATAAATTTCTTCTGCCAAGAAGATAGTCTTAAGATAAAGTTTTGTAATTCGATTTTTTGCGACTAAATCAAAAAGACTTTGAATGTCTTCTAAGGGCGGATCGTCTGAACCTGCATATACAAAACGGTATATTTCTAATGAATCAAGTTTAGGTAACATTTGTAAAACATTGCTTAAGTTATCAATACTAATTTGACAAGTAACGTTCAAATGATAAATCTGTGTTACAGTTAACACGTGATGAATGTAATCTTTTACGGTTAATGATTTGCACCACTGTTCTTGATACGCATCCGACAAAACAAGTCGCATGGATTTCGACCATTCATCGAACGAATTCATCGTGTTACCTTGTACATTATGTTCATACCATCGCTTTCTAAAGAGAATGGAAAAATGATGATTTTAATGCAAAGCATTTTTATTCAATTTACTTGTATGGACGGATTGAATATATTATATTGTCAACTTCGATTTCAGTATCTAGAATCCATTGTCTTTGAATCCAAAATTGAGACATGAACGGATTTTGTGCTCCGCTGTATGGTGGAGTTTGATATTCACTATCAAGACTTGCTTGAAATTTGAAATAAAATTCTTCCAGTTGTGTTAAAATTTGCAAAATAAATTGTTCCCATCGATCAGAATTAAGATAAGACAAATCGTCAACGATAGTAGTGAAAGATAAAATTTTCAATTGTGAACAATGGAATTTCTTAATGAATATCTCGAATTCATCAAACATCATTTCATAGTTATTTATTGAAAGATGTGTTACATATGGAAATGTAGCCGGTTTAATGGATTGAACATCTGAATTATTTCCATATAGATTCAAATATTTCAAATAACGAAGATTTGGTGTGTATGATAGTAAATTCGAAAGTTGATCGTAAGTACAAAAATGATCAATAATAAAATATTCAATAGATGTGATTTGTTCTTTAGTAGCCGCTGATAATGATATTGTTGTATTAGAATCGTCGGAACCCAGTGCCGTATATCTGATGTATTTTAATTTTGGAAGAGTGAAAATAAATTGATAAAAAATACTAAGATTTTCTAAAGTAGGCCACGCATCGATTTTCAATGAGAAAAGACGTGGTAAAAGAGCCAATTTTGGAAGAGTTGATAAAAGTAAATCTGGTTCAATAGAAGTGATTACAAGAGATTCAAGACGATTAAATGATGAATCAAAATTAAACGACCAAGCCGTTGGATTAGTTTTCTTGAATGTCCATAGACTAATGGAAAATATTTGTTGTTTATTATGAAGTACTATTTTATTATAGTTATTCAGTGTTATCTCATTTGGTTCTGTACGATGAACTTGAATTTTGAGTCGAAGCAATGAAGAGCTGAGAAGCTGTTGAAATCGATGACTTAGATCCGAAAATGCTTGATAAAGGGTACAGCCATCGAGATATTCGAATATTTCGTAAAACAATTCATTCGATAAATTCTCCATTGAAGTTATTGGCATGGCGAACGAAAGTTTAATATTAATACAAAAACAATCTAGAATGTACAAATAGATGATAATGGTTGTTCAGATGAAGAGAAGACGTAAGGTACAGTAGTCTTATGTTTTGCTGTTCTAAGACTTAGATCACACTTCTTTTCTTCACGTGGTCTTTTAAATAATGATTCGTGTCTATTGGTTTGTTTACACTATTACATATGAAGAAGTGATTGCTCTGATATAACATATATGTCCTCCATTATTGTTTTTTTTCTGATCTCTCGTTTTAATTCTTCTGATAGGTCCGTATATATGAATACATTTTTTACTTTATTGGGAACTATCATATAAGAATACATAAAGTTAGCAGATCGATTTTCTGTTAATTTATATGCAAATAACTTGTTCGAAGAATTCAGTGTCTATTGAAATAATTTGATTTAGATAATTTCTCGAATATTTTTTTCTCAAAAAAGTCCCTGCAGTCTGCCTTTTTATTTCCATGTGCATAGGACAACAATAAGGATTGCGATGTTTCATTGTAACTTACTAAGAAAGATATTTGATTTCATATACCTTCTTGTTTTAATCTCGTTTGTAATCCATTATCGTCATTAATGATCATCGGGACGTGGGTGTCGGTATAGGAGAAGTCATTCAATGAGTTTTCCGTTCAATGACAGACACCCACACCCGTCTACCGATCGGCTTACTTCTATACTGAAAGTAAATTTTCATGTTTAAATAATATAGTTTTAATGTGTTCGCCATGAGATTCCAAAATAAGAGCAAAACAAAGTAACGCCTGAAGTTTGACGAAGGTACAGTTTAAAGATAGTAACTTATGCAGGCTGCTCATAATAAAAATTAAATTAGTTCCAAAACAGCATTGTTGTTGAATTCCTTCTCACTCTTCATGACATAAATAATTATTCATATTGAGAGTGATGAAACAAGTTTAGTGGGTCGTTGCATTTTTTCGTGCGTTTTTTTTCTCCGAGGATTATTTTCTTAGAGATTTAAAAAAGTTGTGAAGAAAGCCTATGGGATAATACCGAATTTCTAATTATTGAAGGATCAACTTATGCTTTTTTATTTTCGTGAACACGAGTAGTATAAGTTACTCAGTAAATATAGATATGGGTAGTGTCGCTATTCTGTTTCTTTTCAGTGCAAAAGATGTTTTCAAAAGTAATCTACTGTTTCATATTTGTTCTATGCAAGTAATTGTTAAGTTTATTCTTTTTCTATTCATCTAATATTGAAAAATCTTTCGTTTAAAGTTTCACAGATTTGATTTTTGTTTTGTTTTCATTCCTCTTCTTGTAATTTAGTGTGTTGATAGTTCGAGTAAAAAGTCAAGCATGCAATGGGATGTCTCAATATGATCGATGTTCACGAGAATTCTGCATGCGCTTGTTTCCATGTCGCAAGTACTCCTGATACTGGCATTTGTACGGATCAATTCGTGGCAACTTGCTCTGAACTAGTTCCATGTGAAAAATCAACTAACCTCTGCGATAGATCTGATCATCAATGTGTTCGTCATCCTCAATGTGAGGATTCTCCTGTTTGCTATCCAATTCCAACCTTCAATCAACAATTTTGCCCACCAACACTCAGTAAGAGAATAAATGCTGACCTGTAGAGTCAAGTGTACTTCGCATCTTGAATTTATATTATTTTTCTTGATATTCACTCACATTTGCAATCCATGTTAATGTAGTGGCAGCGATAACGGGCTAATGAGCTTTTCTAAAAATTAGATACGAAATATAAACCTAGAGAAAATGAACAATATGGATCCATAAACTGCGTTGTATAATCGATTGATTATCGTGAATACCAAGTTTGAATCTACTATTTGTTTCTAGTCCCTCGTTCTTTGTGGTTCATTGCAAAGCTACGCTTTCATAAGTTTCTGAAGTTCAGAGCTCACAGAATCTGACTACTGTTGTAAAATTTGAATTTCATCAAGTTCGATATTGCTATCCTATATCAGACTTGAAACTATCTACCTTTTTTACAAACATATTCTATGATATTAACTAGGAACTAAACTCTAAATTTTAGCTACAACTACAACTACAACAACAACTCAGCAATCAAGTAAGCTATTGATCGATATTTCGAATAATCTTGCTCAATTTTTCTTTATAATCAGGTATAAATAATAGCTAATTATATAAAACTTTTTTTGCATCAAGATAAATTAAAGTACACCATACAGAGTGTAAAGTTGATAGCTAAGTGTTTCCAACACTATAATTGACAATTTAAGTTAATTAGAGAAGATTTAACCGATAGAAATTATATTGATGCTATGTATGTACCAGAGGTATGCGGACAGGAAATTTTCATGCCCCGCGAGACTCACCCCGCTAATTTTTAAAACCCGTCCCGTCAACCCCCCCC